CAACCATTGCAATTTCTCCATTTAAGGACTGACCATTTAAGGATTATTTATGGAAAGAATATGTGTCCCGAATCTTGTCTGAAAACCTTCCATTGACACTTCCTGGAAAGATAAAGAAAGCTTGCAGAGGATGTCAGCTGCTTGGGAGAAAATCCCAGAGATCAGAGTAGGGGATTGTTAAGAGACGCCATGTTAGGGGGATGGACATGCTTGAACCTCCGACTTCAGGGGGGAGGGGGGCAAGGGCAATATACGTAACCTTAACATTTGTACCCCCATAATATGCTGAAATAAAAAAGATGCCATGTTAGCAACGCTCTTTATAGCAAAGAGAACAGCATCGTGCAGGAAACGTTGGCAGTGACAATTTGGTGTCTCGAATCAGAAAAATTAGACTCTGAAGATGAAGTGTGAAGAATATTTTAACCAATTTATTTTACTTGCATTTATTCTATATTACAGAATTATCATTTTATTTACATATATATGGGAATACTTTAACCAATTTTATTTATGTTTGCACGTGAGTGATGTGGGATAAAATACATGTCTAAATAAGCCTACAAAAGCACTTCTATTAAGTATACATAGAAATTCTAAGTGATAAAAATAATGTTGTCATTGTTTTTCCTTAGTAGCCCATAAACAACGTGTATCTTACAATTGATGGGATCTTCAATTTGATGAAATTGAGTAACTTACATCTCTTTTGTTTTTCTCCATCCCTCCCTCCTTTTTTGTTGTGGCAAAATACACATAACATTAAATTTAAACCATTTGTAAGTGTAGAGTTTGGTGGCATTATATATATTCATATGGTTGTGCAGTCATCCTCACTATCCATCCCCAGAAACTTTTCATCTTTCCCAACTGAAACTGTGTCCCCATTGAACAGAAACTCCCCAGTCTCCACCTACCCTGGCAACCAGCATTCTTTCTGTCTCTGTGAATTTGACTACTCTAGGGACCTCATGTAAGTGGAATCATGCAATATTTGTCCTTTTGCTATGGGCTATTTCAATTAGCGTAGTGACTTCATGGCCTATCCAAGTGATAGCCTGTGTCAGGATTTCCTCCTTTTTTATGGTTGAATAATATTGCAGTGTTTGGATAGATCACATTTTGTTTATCTATTCACCTGTCGATGGACACTTGTGCTGTTTCCACCTTTTGGCTATTGTGAATAGCACTGTAATGAACACGGGTGCAGAAATCTCTTTTCCTTGGCTCTGCATTTTGGGAAGATTTACCATTTCTGTTCTGCAAATCACTGACTCAGCTTCCTGCTATTACCAGTTGGCTCTTCACATCCTCTGCTGTGTTCCACAATTATCAATCATCGTGCTACTGCCCCCAAATTATTTTTCTATTATCAATTGTTCCTTTCTTATGACTTCCTGCTCTTGTTTGATGGAAGTAAGATTAATTTATTTAGCATGTAAACTGTAGATTTAAAAAAAACCTTTTCCCTGTTTATAGCTAAGTCTGTTTTAAGAGGATCATTTCTATGATTTATTTCCATCTTTTGACTCTCCGAACCCTCGTATGTCCAGTTCCCTTTGTCTTTGTGCCTCTTGCCTTAGACTGCTGGGGCTGCCGTAACAGGATGCCACACACTGGGCGGCTTAAACAACAGAAATTTATTTTTTTCATGGGTCTGGAGGCTGGGAGTCCAAGATCAAGGTGTCGGCAGAGTCAGTTTCTGGTCTCCTCCTGGGTCGTAGACAGCTGCCTTTTCTGTGGGTCCTCACGTGGTCTTTTCTATGCATTTCCATGGTGTCTCTTCTTCTTTTTCCTAATTCCCAGTAGTGATACGGATATTTTCTCTATAGAATTATATAGAATTATTACTCTTGTAATTTCAATAGAGAAAATATTTGGAAGTGGCATGGCAGGAAATACACAGGCTCAGACGGTCATCTATCTTGGACTGGCTGACACGTCTTCACTGGCTTCCTGATTCTCTCTGTGTTTTCTTGCCACCACTCTGCTGCATCTCTGCCCATCTGTTGGATGTGGGTGTTTTTCAGGCCTCCATCCTAGACCTTCTTCCCTGGCTTTGAATCCCTTTGGTGATTCTAGGCTCCAGCCTGACTGCCCACCCCCTCCCCCTGAGCGGCAGAGTCATCTGTCCCCAGCTACCTCCTGGCTGCCTCCCCACGGGGGACCACTGGCATGATAAACCCAAGTCCCAATGGGAACTCACTGACTCCTCACCCTGCCGCCAAAGCACATCTCCCATGGGCGCCCTGGCTGGTGGGTAGTGCCACCAGCCACCACTTGTCTCAGCCAGAAACCTGGCCCTCCCAAGCTGTCCCTCTTCTCTGCTCTCCATATCCGACAGTTACAGATACCTCCATGCCCCTCCTAAAGCTGTGGTTTCTAGAGTTCTTGCTAACGTGCTTTAGAATACGGAGGGCAGAGACTTGCGTCCACAAAGCGTTAGGATATTGGGTTCTCCCAGCGGCTTCCCGACAGTGCACGAGTCATGCCAAGTCCGAGGGCCGACTGTTCCATGATGCAAAGTACAGTTACTCGTCAGTCTCCCTTGACTGGATCTGTTGCCGTCTCAGCACAAGGTGACCACTGGAAAAAGGAGATTTACCGTGTCTGACTACTTATTCCCTTATGTGAGGTGAGAATTAGCTCTCTTCTGCCATCTTCCAAATGCAGTGATGTCAGCATCTTCAGTTAAAAAAAATGAAGTGTTCACATTATATGTCTACAACAATGTTATGTCTTGCAGAGTTTAGTATTCTATTGTGATAACATTTTCTTTATAGCATAGTTTGTTTTGCTTTACTGGAGATATACTAGTTATTCTCATCTTGCAATGTTTTTCTTACAAGAAGTTTCCTTTTTTTTTTTTTTGAGACAGGGTCTCCCTCTGTTCCCAAGGCTGGAGTGCAGTGGTGCAATCATAGGTTCACTGCAGCCTTCAATTCCTGGGCGAGGTAATCCTTTCATTTCAGCCTCCTGAGTAGCTGGGACTACAGGTGTGTCCGCCACCACCCCTAGCTAATTCTTTTATTTTTGTAGAGATGAGATCTTGCTATGTCACTCAGGCTGGTCTTGAGCTCCTGGATATTTTGTTGCACTTTGAAGGATAAGATTCTTATTTCAGATCCAAAGAGGCTCACTGGCCTCCTCCTCTCCTCTGGGCATAAGGGAATAACTCAGAGTTACGACTGTGCTAGGTTAACACTTAGTAAATAATTTTAGTTAAGTTACAACTCAAGACACAGACTGTGGCTAAGAACTCCACAGAGGAAGTCCTCCTGAGAAAAGAGAATGTGATTTTAGGGAGTTTTTATTTTAAGAAATAGAAAATTGTTACAAGGAGGCTGGGCATGGAGGCTCACACCTATAATCCCAGCAATCTGGGAAGCTGAGGCAAGAGAATGGCTTGAGGCCAGGAGTTTGAGACCAGCCTGGGCAACATAGTGAGACCCTATTTTTACAAAACATAAAAAAATAATTAGCTGGGCATGGCAGCATGCACCTGTAGTCTCAGCTACTCAGGAGGCTGACAGAGGAGGATTACTTGAGCCCAGGAGTTGGAGGCTGCAGTGAGCTATGATGATAGCACTGCACTCCAGCCTGGGAGACAGAGTGAGACTTTGTCTCTGTTAAATTTTGGCAAGTTAAAATGATGACTTTCAAATAGGGAGAAAGAGAAAGATGCAGAGGATGTCCCTTGTTTTCTCTGTCCCATCCAAGTGCCAGGAGAGGGGGGTTGTAAGTGACATACCCTAAAAGGTAGACTCAGTTTAGTCAAGGTGGATGGCCAGTGAGAATCCCCCCATCCCTGGTTGGTTGTTGGTGAACCTTGACGTGCAGTAGGCAATCCTATAAGCTCTTGCCTATATCTCAGGACTAAAGCCACACACCTGTCAAGATTGGGACTTTGCAGTAGTGTCTTTCAAACTTTGAGTTGTGACCCATTAGTGGATCCAGGAACTCAATTTAGTCTGTCATGAAATAGAATGCAAATAGTAAGGTAAGCATTGTTTTATGACACTGTGTGTCCATAGCACATCTCCAATTTTATTCTTTTATTCACAATCTCATTCAAGAAATACATGTTGAGCACCTACTATGTGGCAGGCGCTGGGGCTGCAGAAGACAGTGACGCATCCGCACATGCATGCGTGTGCAGGTGCCTGCACGTTCTGGATCACGCTGGGAAATGCACCTCTCACGGTGGGTCACAGCCAAGTTGCCGGTGGGAATGTCAGGATATTGGTGCATGGCTACTTCCTGTGTGGGTCAGAAAATTACGCAAGGAAAGGACAGGACCCCTTTTCAACACAGGGCAGCTTTATAAGGGAAACAAGGCCTGTCTCCAGCAGCCTGGGTTTGGTGAGGGTCAAAAATCCTGGACAAATCTGTGTTTTCTTTTTCAAGCTGTTATCAGTACAAGTGTAGAAGTTAATCACGTTCCTCAGTTCATGGAACAGTCTTCCCCGTGGGGCAGTGGAGATCCTTTCCTATGGTGTCATTTTTTCCCTCTTTACCCTGTTTCGCCTTCTCAGTCTCTACCTTCCTGCCCCTCTGCCTGGAACAGGTCCTCGATCTCCCTGGGGTGCCCTTCCCGCCCCTGTGAAATGGGATCACAAACGTACCCGCCTTGGGGGGGGTGTTGTACTGTGAGGGTTCACTGAGAAGTGTCTGTGGGGGATTTGGGACAGTGGCTGGCTTGAGGACAGCGTGTGAGCTCCCAGGGCCGGTGCAGGGCCTGGGCCTGAAGGGCCCACTGAGATCCGATCTTTCCTACCTCCTGCTTCTGCACGGCTCTCTCTGCTCCCCTGCGGCTTCTGGGTTTGAGGGACTTTATTCCCCAGGAGAGCCAAGTGTCAGGCAGGAGCTGAGAGCCTGGTGGCCTGGCCCACAGGAGGCTGGGCCTGCGGCTCGATTGGTCAAGAGCAGAGGACCGATCCCTGTGATCCTGGTCGGGGATGTTTGGAGACACCAACAGTTCTGGGAAATTCAGAGGCAGGAAGGGAAAGGGAGGAGGGACGGAGGGGAACAGCAAGCAGCTCCCCCGGCCCCACTGGCCTGGCTCCCCCTCCCAAATGGTGCGATGAGGACTGAGGTGACTGGTGTGTGGGGTGGGGACAGCCCAGGAGGCCTTCTTCCTGGGGATCTCCAGGGAGAGCAGAGCTGGTCCCATCCCCCACCCCCAGCACTCACTGCCTGAGTTCCAGCTCTGTTTCCACTTCTGTTTACTGTCCAAAGTCCCAGGGGCAGGAGATGCCAGGTGAGAATCACTCGGATACACAGGCTCAGGGACCAGCCCCTTCTCCCCTTTCCCCTGCTCAACTTGTGCCACCCGCCCCAGTTTTCCTGGCTTTAACCCCTCTTGTCCCAGGACTGGGCTGCCCGCGGAGCCGGGAGCCAGCTCCAAACCTTCAGCAGGTAAGCAAGGTGGGGGAGGCAGCTGGGATGGGGATGTTTGGGATTAAGGACGCCCTGGGTCAGGGACCATGGTGGCTCAGTGGGAAGATGTGGGGTGGTCTGGTCCATGAGAGGATGGACAGAAGGCTTCTGGCCATGTTAAGGCCTGAACAATCTCTCTTTATTTTATTTTATTTATTTATTTTTTTGAGACAGAATCTCACTCTTTTGCCTGGGCTAGAGTGCCATGGCGTCAGCCTAGCTCACAACAACCTCAAACTCCTGGGCTCAAGCGATCCTCCTGCCTCAGCCTCCCGAGTAGCTGGGACTACAGGCATGCGCCACCATGCCCGGCTAATTTTTTCTATATTGATTTTTAGCTGTCTAAGTAATTTCTTTCTATGTTTAGTAGAGACGGGGTCTTGCTCTTGCTCAGGCTGGTTTTGAATTCCTGACCTTGAGCGATCCGCCTGCCTCGGCCTCTCAGAGTGCTAGGATTACAGGCGTGAGCCACCGCGCCTGCCCCTGAACAATCTCTTGAGAAGGGACAGGACCAGCAGTATTTTAAAGCTCAGCCCCAAACTCACCTCCAACCTCAGACCCAACCAGAGCCACCATCTCGACCCACTCAGGCTCTACGTTCAATCCCACCATCAGCCTCCACGTGAATCTGCATCTTAGCACAAGCCCAGCCCTCAGCTCAGCCCCAGCCTCAGGTCCAGCTCCAGCCTGGGCTCGCCATGGCCAAGGACTCTCAAGACATCCAGCAGCTGGACTTGGAGGAAAATGACCACCAACCTCAGCTCGGTAGAAGTGAGGGGCCAGGCACTTGCAGGCAGACTCCCGGGGGAGAAGATCTACTTTGGAAAGGCAAGTGTCCAGTTTCTGGGGCTTCACTCCACCTCTGGCTCAGCTCCCAATCCCCCTCTGTCTCCCTGAGGTCTCTGTCACATTCACTCTGCAAGTGGGGACTGGGCCCCTCTGGGTGTGAGGTGCCCAGCACCTCTGCCTGTGCCTGACCTCACAGGGCCCCAGGCGAAGGTGTGTGCCCAGAGGTGTGGGGACACCTGGGAGCTGGAGACAACTTCCACCCCTCCTCCTCCCGGCCCGAGAACATGCGTGCCTTCCATGTATGTGCGCATGCGTGTATGTGCTTGCAAGGGACGCACATTCAGCCAGGACTGTGTGTGTATGCGTGTTGGGGGGAGGTGAGTGCGAGTGGGTGGGGAAATGGGCACAGAGAGATCCTGGAAGATTCCTGCTCCTCCCCCAGCCCCCAGGCCCTCTGCCTGGACCCTACCAATCATGATGGAAGGCCCCCAGTGGCTGGGGAAAGGTTTTAATGTGTGTATGTGTGTGTGTGTGTATGAGAGAGAGAGAGAGAGAGAGAGAGAGAGAGAGAGAGATCTGAGCAGTTCTAGGCAGAAGGGCAGGGGCCAGAGATGGAGGAGGGTATCAGGCATGTGGGTGCTGGTGGTGGACTGGGTTCCAGGGAGGCAGGAGGGGCTGGGACTCAGAACTCAGCTAGCTGGGCTGGGAGGAGGGACCCCGTGTTCCTGAGGCTGGCAGACGGAGGGAGGGCTGGTGCTGGCCAGGGCAGGGCAGGAGGACAGGGAGGATCGGCCTTCCCACCAGGCGGTGGGCTCTATGGGGCAGAGGCCATGCCCACTGCACTCTTCCCTGCAATTCCAGTGCCCAGGCGGTGCCTGGTGCATAGTGCACACACACAAGCATTTAAGATATTGTTGAATCTTCTGAGAGTGAGAGGATTTAGGGTTGGAGCAAAAGGCCTGGAGAGAGTCTGGAAGTTTTGAAATTAATGGGAGAGGGAGCTCACCCAAGTGGACTGATGGACGCCACTGGAGACACAACCAAGTGAGCACATTTCTCCCCAGCAGCTTCTGCTGCCTGGGCGGGGAGTCATTGTGTGAGCCGCCATTGATCAACTGCTCACCAGGGCCCGTCTGCCACTCTTGCTAGCACTGTATGTGTCTACAGTTTCCAGCAAATTTAGAAATGTTTTGGCCATTGTTTCATCAAATATTTTTTTTCTGCTTCCCCCTCCTTTCCTTTAAGGAATCCAGTTACACAGATGTCAGCAGTCCTGCAGCTCACTGGTGCTCTTGCCATTTCGTTTTTTTTTTTTTTTTTGAGACAGAGTCTCACTTTGTTGCCCAGGCTAGAGTGAGTGCCGTGGCGTCAGTCTGGCTCACAGCAACCTCAATCTCCGGGGCTCAGCAATCCTACTGCCTCAGCCTCCCGAGTAGCTGGGACTACAGGCATGCGCCACCATACCCGGCTAATTTTTTTGTATATATATATTTTTAGTTGGTCAATTAATTTATTTCTATTTTTGGTAGAGACGGGGTCTTGCTCAGGCTGGTTTCGAACTCCTGACCTTGAGCAATCCGCCCGCCTCGGCCTCCCAAAGTGCTAGGATTACAGGCGTGAGCCACCACGCCCGGTGCCATTTCGTTTTTGATTCTTTTTTCTCTTGGTGTTTCATTTTACATAGTTATTGCTATTTTTTAAATTGACTAAATTTTTCTTATGCATATCTAATCTTCCACTAATTCCACCTAGTGTATTTTTCATTTCAGACATTGTAGTTTTCATCTCTAGAAGTTCAACTTGGGACTTTTAAATATCTCCCATGGTTGTACTTAATTTTGTGAACATATAAGATACAGATATAATATGTTTTAATGTCCTTGTCTGCTAATTCTAACATCTGTGCCAGTTCTGGATTTGTTTTGATAGATTTATTAATAGTAAAATCCTCATATAAGTTGTGTTTTCCTGTTTTGTTGTATGTCTCATAATTTTTTTTTTTTTTTTTTTTTGAGACAGAGTCTCACTCTGTTGCCCAGGCTAGAGTGCTGTGGCGTCAGCCTAGCTCACAGCAACCTCAGACTCCTGGGCTCAAGTGATCCTCCTGCCTCAGCCTCCTGAGTAGCTGGGACTACAGGCACGCGACACAATGCCCGGCTAATTTTTTTTCTATGTATTTTTAGTTGTCCAGCTAATTTCTTTCTATTTTTACTAGAGACAGGGTCTTGCTCTTGCTCAGGCTGGTCTCGGACTCCTGAGCTCAAAAGATCCGCCCACCTGGACCGCCCAGAGTGCTAGGATTACAGGCGTGAGCCACCACGCCCGGCCAGTAATCTTTGACTGGATGCCAGACATTGTGAATTTTACTTTATTGGGTGCTGGGTATTTTTGTATTTGAGCTTTGTTCTGGGATACAGTTAAGAAACTTGAGGTCAGTTTGATCCTTTGAAGTGCAACCCTCTGGTCTCCTCAGCATCAACTCCTCAACTCAGGAGGTCTGCAGGGCTCTGCCTAGATGTCCCCTTACTGGCCTGTGGCCTGAAAACTTTCTCCAAGTAAAAGGCTGAAGCAGTCAGCAGGCTCACTCGTGTATTTCCTACCTCTCAGGATCATTGCCCTTCTTTGCTGAGACTGCAGTCTTGAAAACTCTCATTTCTTGTAGTTGTCTGTTGTTCACCTTGGTTGTCTCGGGGGAGGGTAAATCCGGCCCCTGTTATTCCATCTGGGACAGACTCTTTCTTTTACTTTCAAACTTGCCTAAACGGCATTTAACTCACTTAACTCTCTGAATAATCCAATCAGGCACCTACAACTGGGATCCCCATTTTACGCATGAGAAAATGGAGGCACCAAAACCTCAAGTGACTTGTCCATGCCCTCGGAGCTAGTTGGTGGCACAGCTGGACGTCTGGGTTCAGGGTAGACATGCAGAGACAGACGGCTGGGCTGACCCAGAGTCGGGAGGCGAGAAATCACAGGTCACGTCAGGAAGCAGGACAGGGGTCTGCTGGGTGGACAGTGTGGGGGGAGCAGCCGGGGGTTCATCCATGGGGTCCCAGCTGGGGTGGGGAGGACTGGGGTCCCGCAGTGCTTCTGGATGGAGTCGGCAGTGAAGTCAAGGCTTAGCCTCTCTGGGTCAAGGTGGGGGTCCTGAGTGTGGCTGCAGCGGGAAGGTGAAGAGTTGGTGTGAAAAGGTCAAGAGTTCTGGGTGGTCACTTACTGGGGATGGTGGCAGGCAGTGACCCAGGGAGGAAGATTCTGGGCCCCTGACTGAGCCTCCCCAGCATGCGGGGTGCCGGGGTGCGATAGCAATGAGGAGAGAGGGGCGTGCTCGGAGTCAGGGCCTGAGGCAGAAGGAGCAAGCGTCCTGCTTGCAGGTGGGGGGTGGACGGTCCCTGCTCTGGGCCTGGAGGGACAGCCGGAGGGCAAGGCCAGCCCCGTGCGTGTGAGGCTGTGGGTGTGGATGTGTGAGAAGGTGAACAAACGTGTGCATTCGTATGTGTTGTCTATGTGAGCACGTTCCCGAGAGAATGAGTGTGCTCGTGAGTGTGCAGATGTGTTTGTGAGTGAAATGAAAGGTGTGTGAGAGTGTGTGTGTGTATTTGTGGGCTAAGGGGAGAGGGTTCACAGTGGAACGAGGGTTCTGGGGCTGTGGGCGGGAGGGGCTGGGGCAGGCTCTGAGTGGTGTGGGGTGAGGAGAGCAGAAGGGGCCTGGAATGTGGCCCTGGGGAGTGGTCCATGGTGGAATGACTCGGATTTAAGGATCCCAGTGGGATTTTGGGAGGGGAGCAGTTGTTCTCGTCGGAGACTTGTATGAGGGACGCAGGCATGGATTTTAAGAACACATGGCCCAGCCTCTGGGGACCCCGGTTGGAGGGGCCAGGGGCCTTAGAAGAGTTGGAACTAAGTCCCAAGGTGACCTGGAGGCCTCTCCCACAGGCTAGGCAAGAAGGGAAACCATTCACAGATCTTTTTCCGGATGTGTGCCTGGTCACAGCCCCATCTGTCCCCTGGCCCCCTCTGTGTGTCCCCCGGTCCATGATTGGGGCTTTGCACACAGCTGATATGAATTTCATGTGTGAGTTGCATGCGTGTTGTGCGCTCCTGGGTAGGTGGCTGTGCATGTTTGCACATGTGTCTGTGAGTGCCAGCGTGTAAGTGTGTGCGTGTGCGTGTGCAGTGCCCAAATGCTGCGGCCAAAGCCCAGGCATCCCCCCACGCCCGCCCCACCTGGTCTCATGCCCCCATGGGGTCAGGCCTCCTCAGACTCCTGAGCTGACTGCTGTGCGGGGACGGGGACGTTGGGGGCGCTGTGGGGTCCTCCCTGAGGCCCTGAGCTCCGTGCCCGGCAACTGACTCCCCTCTCCCGCAGGGCCGCCTGCGCCCCAGTGCTTTGCACAGCGTCTCTGCTCCATGCTCCGCCTCAGTCTGCTCGTCCTGGGCTTCAACGTCCTGCTGCTGGTGGCCATCTGTGTGATTGGGTCCCAAAGTAAGGGTCACAGCGGCCAGCAGGGGTGGGCCCTGAGGGGCGAGGGGGGAGGGGTGGCGGCAGGGTGGGGCATGTGCTGGGGCAGGTGGGGGTTGACGATGGGGAGACAGTGGACTCCCGAGGCAGCAGCAGTGTCGGGGAGGGTGACAGCAGCCTGGACGGTGTTGGGGACACCCCCTCCCCCACGCTGTCCCCACTGTCTCCTGACAAGGCACACAGATGCGACTGGAGCTGCGGGCCCTGAAGGAAACCTTCAGCAACTTCTCCTCAAGCACCATAGCGGAGGTCCGGGCTCTGGGCGCCCACGGTGAGCGGCTGGGTGGGCTCCGGTGCCCTCTGTCCGCACTCAGGCGTGGGCACTCAGGGCCCAGTCTGTGGTGGGGGTGTTCGGGTGCCATGGGGTACACACCGGAGCTTCCAGGAACGCTGGCCCACAGCCGGGGGCCCCAGGACCGGGCAGGTGGCGAGAAGGGGGCTTACCCAGGAGGGCCAGGGGGTGAGGAAGGCCACTGGGACTGTGGGCGACTCTAGTGGTGGGATGAGCAGTGAGGTGGCCCAAGGGTGTGGAGGGGCTGCCCCACGCAGGCGTATTGTGAGAAGATGGGGACCCCCGGAGGGATTAAGCAGCAGAGGGACCTGAGCCGCTGCGGCTGGGTAGGAGTCTGGCCGAGGTGGGGAGGCCAGGCGGTGACGCCTGCAACGCCCTGACCCAGGACAAGGTGGTGGGCCCCAGGCTGTGCCCCAGGACTGTGAAGATGGGGAGACACTCAGGGGGCAGGACGGAGGGAGACGGTTGGGCTTCCCTCTTTTTCAGGAGGCAGCGTGGTGGGCAAGTTGACGTCTCTGGGAGCCAAGCTGGAGAAACAGCAGCAGGACCTGAAAGCAGGTCAGAGCCGCTCCCGGCGCGTGGGGGTGAGCGTGCGAGCCGCGTGCTCTGGTGTGCCCCTGGGTGTGGGGTGTGGTATGTCGCCATCTGTGTGTGTGTGTGATGGGCTGTGTGAGTATCTGGCGTGTGTGTCTGCGTATGTGCTTCCCCAGCCAAAGACTGGAGTCCTGTGCCTGGTGCGGGTAGGTGGACCGCACGGCCACTCACAGCACTGTCCATCTGTCCCCCTAGACCATGCCACCTTGCTCCTTCATCTGAAGCACTTCCCAGCCGATCTGCGTGTCCTGTCCTGCCAGATGGAGGTCCTCTACAGCAACGGTAGGGACGGTAGGGACGAGGAAGTCTCCGTTCCAGTGTGCCTGTCCCCTCCAGCTGGATCTCGTCCGCCTGAACTCCCTCCCCCACTCAGGCTCGGAAAGGACCTGCTGCCCCGTCAACTGGGTGGAGCACGCGGGCAGCTGCTACTGGTTCTCCCGCTCCGGGAAGCCCTGGCTGGAGGCGGAGAAGTACTGCCAGCTGGAGAACTCGCACTTGGTGGTCATCAACTCCTGGGAGGAGCAGGTGAGGCCCCGCCTCCCAAAGGCAGGAGGGATCCCTTGGGAAGCGGGCTCTGGGTCTCTCTTTAACCTAAGGAAGAGTCCAGAAGCAGACGTGTGGTAGAACTCCGGGAAGTCTGTAGTGGAGCAGCCTTGATTCTAAAAGGTGGGAGGTTGCAGCCAGGAGCTTGGCAAAGAGACGGGAGCCAGGTGACCAGGAGGTGAGGCACGGGTCAGGATACAGAATTCAAGACAGGGTGACCTAAAGGGCCAGGACAAGGGTGGAGGCACCGAGAGCTCCTTCTTCCTGTACTGACTTCTGGATGTGATGGTCACTTGGGTGAAAGGAACAGAGTGGGCAGGAGTCCAGCGACTCGCCTACAATGGGTTACTGGTTCCTCCAAGGCCCTCCATGTTTCCTCTTCCCACTGCTGCCACCAGACACCAAAGTTCACAGAGAAGAATCAACCCATTAGAATGGACAGGACAATTTTGGAAAAGTAAAAATGGTAATAATGGTAACATTTACTGAGCACTTACTATGTGCTGGGCACTTTCACATATTCAGTTCTTTAATCCCCACAACACTAAGGGGCAGGTGCTCTTACTGTCCCCGCTGTAAAGGGTGGGGAAATGAGGGCACCAGGGTTAAGTAACTTGCCACACAGCTAGCCCGCAATGATGGAGCCAGAGTAATCCAGGTCACTCGGCCTCCTTGGCCAGTGTTTGTTTCCGACCATGATGTGCTGCCTTGGTACCTGGGGTCTTGTGGGGCTGTGTTCTGTATGGACTTGGAAGTATTATAATGCCACAGCAATCAAACCAGGGGATACAGAAGCCAGGATATATTCATCGAGTGTTTGCTATGCATCAGGCTCTGTATGTGCTCTATGCGGTAGAGCGATTACAAACACATTTTGCTTTACTGATCAGGTTGAAATTGGGCGGCATCAGGGAGAATATCTTGTCTCCAGGCACTTTCTCTCCCACTCTGCCGACTCCTCTGAATTTGGGGAGCAGCTGCACCTGCCTCTGAGGCCTGACTCTTCATACACAGGACGTTGTCCTATTGGCAGGATTCTAGAGTTTAGGGGTGCTACCGACTCCTCTGAATTTGGGGAGCAGCTGCACCTGCCTCTGAGGCCCAACTCTTCATACACAGGACGTTGTCCTATTGGTGGGATTCTAGAGTTTAGGGGTGCTACAGTAACTGACGCTGCCCTCGGACGAGGTGCCTAACTGCAGCCTCAGTTGTCTCTAGGGAGTGTGAGCGCAATCAGTCAACTGTCCCCTAAAGCAGTCGGAGGCCCTTCAAACGCGTCAAAGGGACCATTAGATAAGCATGTTGGTCACCAGGTCCATCCTCTGCCTCTTCCACAGAGCTAGGTGACCATACCTTCCCGAGCTACCCTCCCAAAGCCTGAGACAGAAGTCCTCAGGAATAGCCACATCTGTGAGAGAAAACACTGGAGGGCTGCTGTGCTGGGGTGTGGGCACGAGTCCTGGGCTGTCCCTGCGAGCCCAAAGACCACCTTCCCCGGGCTGGGCTGCCCCCGCGCACCGGGGCTTCCTCCCACTGCCAGCACAGACCGTGGCCAGATCACAACGGGGCTCTGGGAAGTGGGTCTAAACTTAGAAGGCCCCGGGCCTGGCAAACCTCAGGAAGTGAGAGCCAAGCACAGAAGCAGGAGCAACCTGAGAGGCGAGTGAAACTGAGGTCCTTAATGGTCTGGGGCCTACGGGGGCAGCAGGACCAGGGTCAGGATTCCAGGACTTTGAGGCTGTGGGCAAAAGACAGGGAGAGGACGGGCGCTGGGGTAGCAGCTGAGTTGGAATGAAGGGGGACGCTGGGCCAGGGCTGTGGATGGACGGACGTGGCCACAAACTCAGGTACCAGGTTGGCTCTCCAGGCCCTGCCAGCTCTCTGCAAAGTAGCAATCATTGTGGCACCCAGCTTGAGGGGCTTCTGAGGATTAAATGAGATAATCCTTGTAAAGACTGGGTACAAAGTCAAGCCAGCACGTGTGTCCTGAACAGCAGCCTTGGTACAGAAGACAGAGCCGGGAGGCGGTCGTGCTGGGAGCTGAGGCTTCAGCCTGGGGGTGGAGGACACAGCTCCATGCCTGCATAAAGGGAAAGGGACAAGGGACTGGAACTTCCCTCCCACCTGCTTTTTTCCAGAAGTTCATTGCACAACACACAAGCCCCTTTAACGCCTGGATAGGTCTCACCGACAGCGATGGCAGCTGGAAATGGGTGGATGGTACTGAGTATAGGCACAACTACAAGTAAGCGGCCCCTCCCTGCATCGCTTCCTTAGACTGCCCCGGGGACGGCCACCTGGCCTTTCACCCCACTACACTCTCCCACCTGTCCATCAGGGACCAAATTCCCCAGCCCTCTCCTTTTGTCTCCCAACCTCCAAGGCTGTGCCTTGCGCCCTTGAGCCCCTCCAAGGCTTTTCTGCGCTGGGGTGAGGGATGTGGGGTCGGGGGAGGTGTCAGAGCTGAGCGTTGTCCTGCCTCCTTAGGAACTGGGCCATCACCCAGCCAGACAACTGGGAGGGACACGAGCTGGACGGAGGCGAAGACTGTGCTGAAATGCAGCCGAATGGCCGCTGGAACGACAATTTCTGCCTCCAGGTGTTCCGCTGGGTGTGCGAGAAGAAGCGGAATAGCACCCTGCAGGAGCCCTGAGCCCCACCCCTGCCCGCCCCGCTTCTCTGTTGGGGGCTTTGAAGAAAGGGAGAAAAGTAGAGTCAGGGGCATAGGGAAGGGTTGAGGAAAGATGTTAATAGAAAGGGTGGTTTAAGAGTCTCAAACCCTGGGGAGGCTGAGATCCCACCTCTTTCCACAATGCATTGTAACTATTCTAATTTTCAGCCTCCTCAATGGACTAGGAAAAGAAGAAACAATTGCTCGAAACTGCGTGGCCTGGTTATTTGGAACTGGGAATTGTAGGGTACAAAGAAGAGGGAGAGGAAGGGCCTGGAAGAGACGAATTGTGAATCCTGGACAGCTGCCCCTTGACACGCAGTTCTGAGGGACCCGCTGGGGGAGAGGCCGGGGCAGAGGGTGCAGGGCCTGTGCTCCTGGGTGGGGCAGGGGGTGCTGCTCTGGGGGCTCCCGAAGGGGGCAGCTTGCCCTGTGGTGGGTGTCTCCCCAGGCCAGGTCCCAGGGAGCACCCTCAGCTCTACCCTCGACCTCCACGGTTCACAAAGAGGAGGAGGATTGGCAAGCTGTCTTCCTATCTCTGCCTCTTTTTTTTTTTTTATTTGTTTTCACCCCAAACAGATCTAGACCCATCTCCAACACCAGTGTCACCAACAATTTCCATACTAGATAAACTTCCCCTTCCAAGATCATTCCGAAACTGACTTTGGAAGGATCTTTAAGCCGGAGCGGTGGCTCACGCCTGTAATCCTAGCTCTCTGGGAGGCCAAGGCGGGACGATCGCTCAAGGTCGGGAGTTAAAGACCAGCCTGAGCAAGAGCAAGACCCCGTCTCTACTAAAAATAGAAAGAAATTAGCTGCAAAAATACACAGAAAAAATTAAACGGGTATGGTGGTGCATGGCTGTAGCCCCAGCTACTCAGGAGGCTGAGGCAGGAGGATCGCTTGAGCCCAGGAGAGTTGGAGATGAGGTAGGCTGATGCCACGGCACTCTAGCCCAGGCAACAGTGAGACTCTGTCTCAAAAAAAAAAAAGGATCTTTAAGCAATTACATTTAAAAATTTTTTTAATTACAAAAGTAATATATGCTATTAGTAAAAAATGTTTCAAATGTGCGAGTGTGTGTGCACACAGAGAGGGGGGTGTCCTCTCCTCACTCTTCTTCCCAGAGCTAACTCTTCCATGAGTAACCTGTTGGAACCTTTCTTGTGTACGTGCAACTATGCAATACTATACATCAGTATATATCACAGTTTGCCTTTTCGCTTTACAGTGTCTTGTGGACATTGTTCTAAATCGCGCCATCATCTGACAGGTTTTACCTCATTGAATTTGGCAGCTGTAGAGAATTCCAGAGTATGGATGTGCCATGCATTAGTTAACCATTCTCTGTGGTGGGCAAGTACTTGCCATTTTTCTTTGTTTGTTTTCACATACAGTGTGAGTAATTTTTTTTACCTGTAAGCTTGTGATAGGTCAGGACTTCCCAATTTTCAGTTGCAAATTTTCTAGGACTGTTCCTTCAAAATTTACAGGATTGCCACTAAATTTTTAACAATTATGAAAACGATAATACACACACTCTAAAGGCTCACAGGGCTAGAAGCAGTCACTTGATTTGCTCTCTTTAGTTTCTACTGCTGCCCAGAGAAACTGCTCTCAGTGTTCTAGTTGTTTCTTCTAGTATTGACATCTGTAGTTGTAAATAATACACACAAGCTGACATCTCTTTATTTTCTTATTTTTATGTGAGAGCGGGGACCTCACAAGGAGCTCATGGTGCAGGTTGGAGAAAGAATTCTCACACAGAATTTAGGATAGAAAGAAGTACAATGTTTATTTATTTTCCCGAGAAGGAGAAAGAGAGAAAGAGAGAGAGAAGGAGGGAATGGCCATGACACACAGAGGAAGGAAGTGCTGGGGCAGCTGAGGGAAAGCTGTTTGGAGTTTTAAAGGGTAAAGGTGGCTTTTGTTCCCTATGCTTCAGCAGACTGGTAACAGAAGCTGCAGTGAAATTGTTGTAGATGTTCTTTCTTTTTTTCTTTTCCTCTGTGAGGCTGAGTTTTCTGAGCCCTCGAAATGTGTTTTTTTTTGACAGAAACTGAGGCAGAGAGCTGGAGCAGGAAGTTTCCACCCCGACTGTCTGCTTAGGCCTCCTCAAGGCTGACAAAGAACTCTTAGAGATAACAAGTCAGGCCACAGATATTTTAATTAAAACAAAGGGCAGTTGTACTGTGAGTTTATTTCCCTTGCTTTCTGTTTGATAGTGTATTTTCCTCTGTTAGATAGGTTGTTAGTAAGGTCATCTTTCGTTTCCCCCTGTCTTTGGTTAAACCTACAATTTCCATTTAATGAACTCAGAATCTGGGGAATATGGGCGGTGCTCTTTTTTCTTTTTCTTTTTGTGTTCGTTTTTGTTAGACGGGGAGGTCAAGATGTCCCTACCTGAGAGAGAGTTCATTTGGGTTATGAAAGTGGAGGGGATTGAAAATGGACAGTCTTAAAAGTAAGATTGGAGGCAGAATGGGGTTTTGCTGAAGAGAAACTGTTAAGGCTTGAATTCAGTTTTGTATGAGTGCTACTAGACAGTGGGGAATATAGGGCTTGAAAATGCGAGCTAAAAGCAGAATCACTAGGGGCCCTAATAGAGGTGTTAGCCAAGAGAAACACGACCATATGTTGAGTTTAAAATTCCGCCAGTCAAATCCACCAGAGGTTCCTTGTTTGTGAAGTGTATTAGTCCTATTTAGAATGCCTGGAATTTTAGTTTGTATTTTTTCTGACTGGTTAATAAAAAAAAAACAACAATATTCTCCTAGCATAGCACATATGCCTCTATGTGCTAAGAGGCAAGAGATCAAGAATTAAGAGACCAAGAATTCATTTATTAGGCCGGGCTCGGTGGCTCATGCCTGTAATTCTAGCACTCTGGGAGGCCGAGGTGGGTGGATCGCTCAAGGTCAGGAGTTCTAAACCAGCCTGAGCAAGAGCAAGACCCTGTCTCTACTAAAAATAGAAAGAAATAATTTGGCCAACTATTTTTCTATATAAAAATAGAAAATTTTTTCTATAGAAAAAATTAGCTGGGCATGGTGGTGCATGCCTATAGTCCCAGCTTCTCAGGAGGCTTAGGCAGTAGGATTGCTTGAGCCCAGGAGTTTGAGGTTGCTATGAGCTAGGCTGATGCTATGGCACTCTAGCCCAGGCAACAGAGTGAGACTCTGTCTCAAACAAAACAAAACAAAACAAAACAAAAGAATTCATTTATTTTGTAAAACAATTCCTGTCAGGGAATTTATTTGTTATTGTGGTATAGCATTTTGTTGGGCTGAGTCCATGGCTGATTGGCTTATTTTTAAAGACAATCTTTGTGCCATAAAGATTGAGTTAAGTAAGCCAGCAGTGCCCGTAGCAAGCCCTGCTATTGCTCCAATTATTGTGAGGATGACACAGGCACTGTGCTTGGATCAGTGTGTGAGGAATAAATGGGTAGAGGCAAGGTATCACTGAGAAGAGTAAGGTTAGGAATTACGTATGTCAGTGTACAAGTTCCGGTCTAGTTTGATGGAAGGCATAGATAAGCATTTGATCCACAGAGAAAGCAAGTTTGGCTTTTGGGATTTAGACAAATATCTATGGATATGTTGAAATAAGGCATTGTAAGGTGGTCCTTATAATGTTCTTGGTCTTCATAAGCAGAAGCTAAAGTCATTCCAGCCAACGGAGGTCAACATGAGGTACATGCAGGAATAGTAGAGAGGCTACATGTCCAATTGAAAGAAGGAGTAGTAGGATTTCATCCTATCTCATGGGCCTGAGGGGTTTTTAGTTTTTAACATCCCTGGTGGTTGATGTTAGTAGGTTGGAATCAAAAGCTTTTCCCTTGAAAGGGCATGATTGTGGGGACAGGGGACAAACGCCAGCCCCCAGATAGCTTATTTGGGTCCAATGGGTGGTGCCATTATGGAGTTTAGGAAAATATATGCTATGAAAAGGGGTTTGGGTGGGTACAGTAACCCACACACGGTTAGCAGTCAGCTGGAAAGTGTGACTATAGGCCAGGGAGTCATCAGAAAACTCTCCCACACAGAAATGGGCCCTGGCTGAGAGGACTTGGACTGACTGGGCACAGGGCAGCTTGGTGCACCAGTGAGACTGAGAGAAGATTGTTCCCTGGAATTTAAAGTCAGCTGTATCATGCAGGAGTCTAGAGGAGCGTTTAATCCAACACTTTGAGTAGAATGAGGAGGGTCCACAGTTTTAAGAAGCTGAAGGGCCTCCTGGACTATAAGCAAATGGATGTTGTATAAGCCAAGGGTGGGGGTGTGAAAAGCATAATCTTTTCTTTTCTTTTTTTTGAGACAGCAGTCTCGCTTTGTTGCCGCAATTGTGCCACAGGCTAGAGTGAGGGTGCATCAGCCTAGCTTACAGCAACCTCAAACTCCCTGGGCTCAGCACCTCCTGCGCCGTTCGCCTCCGAACAGGGAAACAAGGCATCGCAACCCATGCCCAGGCCTACATTCATATAAAAGTTGGCCTATTTCGTTATAACAGTAAGACGGCCCGCTCTCCTTGCCTCAGGCTGGTTCGAACG